CATAGCTCTGATCTAGACGTACTAATTCCTAAGTGCCGTACAAAGCTCTTTCAATTTAGTTACTTTAATCGTGTCGCTAAACTATGGAATACCTTACCTGTATCCACTCGTATTATTAGTTCTCTCAATCAGTTTAAATCTCACGTACTCCAACGCTATTCCGCTGCTTTTCGTACAAACTATGACGTCACTAACTTCAACACCTGGAAGTCGATCTGCTGCAAATGCAGCAGGTCACGTGATCTTCTATTAGATGGTAACTGTTGCTATTAGGACTTTCTATCGGCCGCATAAGGGATTTATTCATATCGTTTTCGTTTTTGCTTTTATTATTGTATATACTTTTTTATATACTTTTTACACTGTCTGTTGTTTACATAGTTAGTATTTGTATATTTCTCGTAAGGGCACACTTAATTTGGAGCCTCGCTCTGTTGTGTGTCCCGCACCCTTGTCCTCCGTTCTCCTCTGTGTCTTGTTCATATGTATATTTTAGTCCTTTTAGTATTGTAAGTAGGGTGAAAGCGATTAAATCTCTTGATGCCAGTGTTCTTGTAACCAGCGCAGCAAGCTATTTCGTAGCTATGAGAATGACAGTTCTCCATGAGGTTTGTATGAATTCTGAATGGTCGAAGAAATAACCAATTTAGAGTGCTACCTTTTTTATCTAAAAGGTAAAGTAATTATGATTTCGAATCTCGTTGGATTCGACCTGTTTATCTTTTAGACGTGGACGAGTGTATCCCTGATCAGATATCTGATAATTATCGCCATCTTGAGAACAACTGTCATGCTGACGCCAACTGTTCCAACACAAAGGGCTCCTTCTTCTGTACCTGTCACACGGGATACTCTGGTGATGGAGTGGTGTGCACAGGTTAGTGGACAGTGATATCTCTTTCCTCCCTTTCGTTATAAATATCTATCTATGACCCATCCAGCCCCACTCGCCCAATCCCATAGAAAACCATAGTAAAAGCTGACGCCTGCAGGGCCGGACGGGTTGACGTGAGCCGGTCCGGAATAAGCTGTCCTGCCCTACTGCCCTAACCTGACTTTGTTGTAAAAACTTAATAGAAAACAGGAATGAGAGAAAAAGGAATTGGGAACTTTTTGTTCTGACTTCAAAAAATAAAGGAAAAGTTTCAATTGCAGATTTTTTTGTGCTCGTGTGGCTGAATGTGCCCGTGTATTGCGTCCTGTTTAGGTTGCAAATTTTCCCATTTTGTGGTCATATGATATACGCGTTATTAACCAAGCGTGAAGTCAAGATGGCTGGGTGTTGGCCAAGTTATTTTTTTGCATTTTTATAGATCGAGAAGAGGACGAGGTCCATAAAAATGCGAAAAAAAGAACGGGGCTAATGTCTGATTGTCTAATTGTCTAAAATGTCTAATTGTCTATTTGTCTAAAACTGATTTTGGCAGAAAATCAGCTCAATATTGAGGCCCTCATATTTGGAATTATTTGAATAGCAAAGTTAAAATTTCCGAAGTAAACACGGATGCCTACAAAAACATTCTAAGAAAGTCTGTTGTGGATACTTTAGTTTTCACAAGGAAGCTATTTTAAATAAGAATAAAGACAATGACTTTATTTATTATTAAGAATGTCATTGTAAAAGAACTTTATTTACTTTTATATATTTTACTTTATATATTTTATATTGTATCCTTAAAATATTTTCATCAGTGCAATATTGTAATAATCTTTGTACTATTTTATAACAATTGTACTATATTGTAGGTCCACATCAGCCCTATGGGCTGCCTTAATTTAACTTACATTAATAAATAAATAAGAAAATGATGATGATGATGTCTAGCTATCTTGACCGAACAAGCTTGGTTAATGAAGGATTTATTATATTGCAAAAAGAATTGGCTTTATTAAGAATTAAGAATGACTTGTTTACTTCTGGAGCTGGGAAAGACAGCCAACTGTATTTGTAGCGCAACACACTCACGAGGGTCGTTTCTGTTTCTTTTTCTTTTTGGATATCTTCTGCCACTTTTTGCGTTTCCATTGCCGAAGTTTTCCAAGAATCTAAATCAATTTTTCAATGCGAGGGATCAATGCGGGCAATTCCGAGCGGGCAGGCTGGCCCCATCTCGCCCGCTCGGGTAGCCAATTAGAACACAGGATTCGCTTCATCTTGCCTGCGGGTGCTGCGAGTGACATAATAAAAAATGCTTATTTACTAAGTTATGTCGGGCTGGACGGGAAAACATTTGACTCTCGTCTATGGTTCATACGTCGTGACGCATGGTGCTTGGTCCATACGTTGACGCTTGGTCCATACGTCATGACCTCAAGCCAAATATTATCCCGACCGGCCCTCTCACTCAGTCAGTGAATACATATTATCATTTTGGGGTTCAATTTCCTCTTTCCTTTCATCAAAAGATATAAACGAATGCGAAAATTTGAGATTGTCATCGGAGCACCAAAACTTGACTCACATATGTCACGATGATGCCAACTGTACAAACACAAAAGGATCTTACTACTGCACATGTCTGAACGGATACTCTGGATCAGGAGAGAACTGTACAGGTAAAAATGATGCCGGATAACCTCTTGAGAATCTCATTAGCTCATGTACTCACCTATTTCCAATTCTTTTTGCGTATTCGCTGTCATTGAATAAATTTTTGTCCTTGAATTCAGTCTATCTGAAATTTAAGGCAATAGCGCACATAACAAATATATGCTATATGATTAAAACTCGGGAGGCGCGGTGGCCTCATGGTTAGAGCGCTCGACTCCGGATCGAGTTGTCCGGATTCGAGCCCCAGCCGGGACATTTTGTTGTGTTCTTAGGCAAGACACTTTACTCTAGCAGTGCCTCTCTTCGCCCAGGTGTATAACTGGGGTACTGGCGACTTAATGCTGGGGTAACCCTGCGATAGACTAGCATTCCATCCAGGGGGGGAGTAGAAATACTCCTAGTCGCTTCATGCTACAGAAACCGGAGTTAAGCACCGGCCTAATGGGCCACTAGGCTCGTAAACAGACTTTTTACTTTTACTTACTGATTAAAATTCGTCACCTAAATAAGCAGAAAGTTCCGCGACTGAAATTGACATAAGAATGAAAAGAAAAGCAATACAAAAATAATCAACGTACAATTGAGGAAATTTGTAAAATGCAAACTTGCCAGTGCAGTGGAAAAACCTGTATCTCAATTGCAAGTGAAAAGTTTTTTCGAATCGGGTGGGATCAATCAAGGTCGTTGGTAGTCCTGATAAGAAAAGCTTTTGTTAGTCCCATCATCTTCTAGAATACCAGCATGATTCAGGCAGTCATCGCATGTACTAACACATTCACTTGTAAAGTGGTGCAAAAACCTTCCATAAATAAATTCAACTAATTGAGTAAAACTAGGAGGAAAGAAATCATTTTTGCAGCAAGTGAATGTGAGTTGAAAGACCTTGAAATTATGAGGCAAGCTGGCATGCATCTTTTCAGCATAACTCGTCTAATATGGGCTCATTTCGATAATATTTCTATTGGCAAGATATTGACGAGTGCACATCTGGAACGCACAACTGCCATGTCGATGCCAATTGTACTAACACCAAAGGATCGTTCCTTTGTACTTGTCATACGGGATATTCTGGTGATGGAATCACTTGTGGAGGTACTAATATAGTTTCTGTGCAGATTATTCATAAAAGTTCAATTTCCGTAACTAACGACTTTGGCTTCCGTTTTACTGTACACCCTTCCAGTATAAATGGTTTATTCGCTGTTACCAATTACTGAAACAAGTACTATGGCGGATGAGGAGATGTACCGTACGCTCGAAAATGGTGCTCATCCATTCTAACTTTGCATTAGAATAGGGCCAATTGTTTTTATCTCTCAGGCTCTCTCAAACCCTTCCGTGCAACGTATGCACATCTACTGAATAACTAAGCCTGACGGGGCTAGAAAATACTCATCGAACTAATGAAACACGTTTGAAGAGTTTTCTTTGATAGCTCACTTTTTAGTGCTAAATTGCCACCTTAAATGAAACCACTTTAGTTTTCCCCACGCTTCGTTTCTAGAGAGGGCAAGGTGACTTGCTATTGTGTGCCTTTCACACGAGCCGATAATTATCTGATATTGCTTTCCTTTCTGCCATGAGCGGAAGTTGAAAATTTTAAACTTTCTTGGCTTATAACGATCGTTCGAATGAAAATAGATGCGCCTTTCTTCAAACTAACTGGTTCTTTGCATCAACTGATAGATTGACTCATTGATTAATTTTTCGATGCAGATATAAGTGAGTGCGAAACAGAAGGCCTGTCACAAGACCATAAACGTTATGAGCATAACTGTCACTCCAATGCAAATTGCACCAATACTAAAGGATCCTTCTTCTGTACTTGCTTCAATGGATATTCCGGAAACGGCGTGGATTGTGTTGGTGAGCTTTTTTTCTTTACTGATATTGAAAATCATAGTGCTTTTATCATCTGACATCTTTACATGCGTTTCAACGAGAATATTTAAAATCTGAAATGCGCCCATACAACAAAACCATTGTTGGGGTGAGCAAAGTATTTATTGTTCGAGAGAACATCAAAACAATTACTGCAAAAGTTAAATAAACTTAATGCAGACCCAGTGACTTATCGCTGATCACCAATGAAAGTGATTCTGGTTATGTAGTTATAATGATCAGTTATTGGATGAGGTTGAGAATGATATCGTGAATTATCAAACCGAGGTCTGAGTTATCTGCCGAAGCCGAAGGCTGTTCTCAGTCGGCTTATTAAGCTTATTGAGTGAGATATGTTTGTTATCCAGTCACTGCTGTTTTCTATCTAGATATAAATGAATGCCAGGCAAGCAATTTAGCTCAAGAACACGCAGATGTATATTCTCACAACTGTCATGGTGATGCTAACTGCAGCAACGCCGAGGGATCCTTCTACTGCACTTGTCTTAATGGGTATTCTGGTAATGGAGTCACCTGTGTGGGTACGTATTTACGGCATATACATGAACTGAAGAAATTCTAAAATCCTACCAGTAACCAAAATTGCGAAAATATTTTTGGCATGTCTTTTAAGAGAACTCCTGATCCAGTGTTTGAGAGTACAAGACGCATTTTGATTGGAATTTGTGGTGGTGAATATAGAAATAAAGCAGTGATTGAAATTCATTCGATGATGGTTTAAATCTCACATTTTGCGAGGTCCAACGCGCGTGAAATGTGATCAATATTCGATTAACCTGGTATGATATGAAGGCCATATTCTGCTGTTAGGTAAGAATATTGTACCTGGCGTCTTATTTTACTTCCGTTTCGCAACGATGACCGAAAAAAATCTTCTTTTATGTTCCGTGGGCTAATTTTGTGTTTTAGATGTCCGATTAATAGTGTGAACTGCAGCTAAAAGTCTACTTAATAAAAAAATGAGCTCGAAATTTCTGTCGCGTGGTTATTTGATGAAGCACGAATCGACTATCACGCACAGAAATAAAGAGCGAATAATCTGATTGCTTTGATATAAATCTCTTACTCTTTTAGAGCTTAACCACAAGACAGGCTCATGTTTTAAATTTGTTTTCACCTCCATACAGTAAAGCTACTCACTTCTCTATCTATTTACACGTAATAGATAGCAAGTACTGTATCGTAGCCAATCAGGTTGCAGCATTTGTGGCTGAGTGTTATCAGATTTATACTTATTTATACTAATATTATAAGTGGATCGTTTACACGGTTAGCTTATCCCAGAAACACGATTGCAAGCTTTGTTAGATATAACATCCTGTTTTCTAGATTTTATTCGCAAGTAGTGATAATCTCCTTTGACTTAAGTCCTGCGTTTTCGTTTCATAGTTGTTACTCTTAAGAGTTTCATTTCTTCTTCGTTACCCGAGTTAAGCAACATTCGATCGGACTGTTCAATTGGTCATGATAACATCCCTGCGAACATTACCAAAATGATTGCAGATTATCGGAGGGTCTCCACCTACTGATGTCATCAACACCTGCATCAAGAACTTCTGCTTTCCATCGGCTTGGAAGCTCGCGCGCATCTGACCAAATTAAACCCGAGAAAGATTTACGATCTGTATCAATACAATTAGTGCTTTCGAACTTATACGAACGGCTGATTTTAAGTCAGCTGTCTGACTACATTGATAAGAACAATGTTTTTTGCATATTGAAAGAGCCAAACGGCCACTACTGTATATGCAACCTATAGGAAATGACACAGTAAAATCCATGAAGCGTTCAGAGGTAACTATGATGATCTTAGCCCACTTCTCTTAAGCCTTTAACACGATTAGATTCGGAAATCTTAAAACCCAGATGAAAAAAACTAGGCTTCTCTTGAGAACTCCTGTTATGGACACTGAAGTTACGCTACGCATCGTAAACAACTTGTACAGATCATTGACACGAGCTCAAACGTTAATGTTAATTTTGGTGTTCCGCAAGGCTCCATTACAGTTGTTTTCAATAACTATGTTGCTGATCTTTAGGAGAACATGAAAGTCAAATTCTTTCAGTATGCGGACAACACAACAATCTACGACCACACCAAAATATCTGACCTAAATAACTGTAGAAAGACTATCTCAATCAATTAATAAACTAAGTGTCTGGTCTAAGAAGAATACCCGCGCCTTTAACAACGACAAAACCAGGGTCATGATCCTATCCACCTCACAAATGCCCAAAGTACATTACATTCACGAGCATGATCATAACATCTCAGTCAGTGGTTATAAACTAGAACGTATTTCAATAATTCCATAAACTGCTTGGAGTTCACATCAATGAACATCGCAAGTGGGACGATCACTTCAAGTACACGATATCTGTATGCCGCGCCATTCTATCAATACTATGAAAGTGGCATATCTTGCCAAATATTAGCGTAGAAAGCTACTAACAGAAACTTTGATTTAGCTAAAACTGGACTCTGTCGACTTGGTTTATTACCCTTTACCACAATCCTTACTATGCCGTTTGAAACGAGTTCAATTTGCTGCCGCAAATTTGTACTCGGTCGCTAAGTTAAGAACTTTCGAGACGAACTTAAAATCGGATTAATCAATCAATTAATGAGAGGAGAGATCTAAACCTCCTCATATCATGCTTTAATGCTTTGCATAACGCTGACACTTGGCCAGATTATCTAAGAAATAATAAAACAAGAATGTCACAAAGAACTGCCCTCAAACAACTCCGTTAGACTAGGGGTCCCGAAGCTATTTAACAATCTACCAGAATTCATTAGAAACTATAAAGATTGTAAAACTTCTTTGAGGACTTTCAAGGGAATCTTTTTGTAGTAGAGTACAAAGTGATTAGTTAATAGTACTGTAATTTCAAATCTGTCAGTCCTTCTTTTACTTTCAATTGTACTGCATAGTCTCTTCTAGGATTTGTTTGTTTGTTTGTTTGTTTTTATTGTGATATATTTTTAATCGCATATAATGTAAATTAACAGAGAAGAGCCCCCCCTTGGATCTCTTAGACAAACCTTCTCTATTATAATCATTATAATAATCGTTATGTATTGTTTGTCTGACACAAAACCTGCAAGTGAGGGTTTCAGGATATTTATTGAACGTCCTGTCATATGCACCGCACCACACAGCAAAGCACTGTTTATATGAGAGGAAATACACATTAATACATCAAGAATCCACTTCTTTCTCTCACCTAGCCACAAGGAAATTGCACGGAATTCTAGTTTGTTGACATTGCCATTTTAAGGATAAGAATAAGAATAATGCTAACAGGAATCAGTCTTCTCTTCGCTCTGAGTGACCTTCTAAGGTAAACTGTACATAGTACGCTTTTAATCACAGTTTAATCAATTGCAACTCTCTTCTTCCATCAATTACTTTAAGTAATGTTGCACTATTATCGGTTCTTCTTGAGTTTATAATTTTTCAAATGTACGCTGTTATTTTTCAATATCTATCTCTACTAAGATATGATACAAGAGCAAAGTAACAAATATAGTTAATATAACTTTAATTAAACATGTAGGTATGTGTTGTAATTTGGTGTGATACTTTCTGCCTGGTAATGTAATCCATGCTAACGTTTGTATAACTCTTCTCTTAAATAGTTAGCTATAGCATTTACACCACCAAAGGAAAGGCAGGACACACGCACCACCGTGACATATAGATTGTAATTTTATAACGTTTGAGGAGTTTGATCATGTTCAGCAAACCCTAGCGGACTTATTTTTTACTGTATTTTTGTACTTCAGACACAGATGAATGTGCCATTCAAACTGACAATTGTCATCTTGATGCGAACTGCACTAACACTAAAGGATCATTTTACTGCACTTGTCAGACGGGATATTCAGGAGATGGCATCATTTGTGAAGGTAAGTATATATTTTGAAATACGTTTGAAAGATGAGGGCTCAAAATTACAAGTTTTTACTCTTTTTGTAATTGCTGACGCGCCCTGTAGACAAAAGCCTTCCATTACTTCTGATCGCCTTCCAAAAACAAATCATAAATGGAGAGGCTTGTCTACGATTCTTTATATTGGCCCAAAGAAAGCCAGAATTCAGGCTTTGAGCTGCATGTCTCAGAATGCAACCATATTCGATCAAATAACACAACGTACATTTCCACAGAAATCGAAGAATGTGAAACTGAAATGGACAACTGCCATGCGGATGCCAATTGCACCAATACTGAAGGATCCTTTTATTGTACGTGTCTTACGGGATACTCCGGAGATGGTGTCACTTGTGTGGGTAGGTAGCGACTGCTAGCAAACGTGTTACGAGGGTGAACCAAACCTCTTGGTTGGGTAATTGATAAATTTAGCGTTTGGCGTCGAAAGCATACAATCTTGCATGGATCAAGTTTCTTGAAATGATTATTCCATCTTGAAGTTTTAGCCAAGTTAAGCGCTAGGACAATGCCCTGCGTAAACATCAGTGCGAAAAAAGTCGAGAACATTTTGTATCGTGGAAACAAATTGGAAATCATGTCTACATGTAACGCTGCGCCCTCTCCGTTGTAGGCTGCTCTCGCAGATTTTGATTAGCGCTCAATTAGTGAATTAAGGCGGTGCAGCCGTGAAAACGAGAATCAAAGCTACCAAAACTCACGCAAGACTCTACTGTACCCTAAGACTGTCTTGGATGTGGAAATTAAGATAAATTATCTATCACAAAAAGGTCTGTGAAAGAGCAAACCACTTTTTAATAAATTTATTTATTACAAAGCCTTAAAAAAACAGGTAGACTTTTATTACATCACTTCTTAAGTTATCCTACCCGCAAATTTTCTAACAGACAATGGAACAGTTTTCATGCGTAAGGAAATTGTTTATCAGACCCCTAAACTGCAAAATAGCACTTTGTGCTGTCACCTTAATCTAAATATAGTCCAGGAACTGAGAGAAGCCTTAACCTTTTAGCTTAAGCGTTTGGTACAAAAATGTGCCTTTGTCCTTAAGAGAATGTAATGGTTAAAATACGGGAATTCTTTTCAGCAGAATAGTAACCGTGTAATGTACTTATCGCATCTAGTTTTATGATTCCTTCAGCTGATAGCTTTCACCAAAAAATCGTGAGCAGCATTGCACTCAACTAACCAGTGTGAGACATTCATTATGAAAACTGTACGGGGAATCGACTAGATTCACCATTTGTAACTCGTTGCCATGAGACAAGGTGTTGTAAATGAAACTTATTTAAATTTAAAGTTAAGTGAAAACGAAGTGATTAAGTTGTACTCTATTCTTATACTATACAAGTTAGAGCTGGCTGAATGTTCAAGGAATTTCGTTTGGGTCAAAACTTAACTAATTATGTATAATACATACTTATATGTATTAGTCGTTATCTGTAATTACGTAATCATTAGCACTTCGATCCTATTTAATGCTCTTTTTTTATTTCAAAACTTGTAAATAACTGAAGAAGGTCTCTGACCGAAACGTTTTTTATTAAAATTTTTTATATTTTTTACGTCAGAAGTTTTCCATCCTCGCAAATGTTTTTAAACTTTCTATACATATATATGTATAGATATATATCTTTATATATAAACAGACTAGGAGAAGTCGAAGCTGTGAAAAAGTGCTCGATGCGGGTTGCAGAGCATTTCAATAGCGGTTATCAATTAATGACAGAAAGATCGTTTCACCATTACTCTGAGTTTCACGCAGCTTGCGCTGCGAACGTCAGACGGTTTATTATCGGTGGAAAACATACCGTGCTATAAAGTCAATTTAAAAATAGAAATTATAGTTAAAATAATAGGAAGCAGTTAAGAAGACAAAAGGACTGTTTCTCTTGGTTTCGCAAGTAGAACTTGTTTTCATTGGCGGCACTTGGAAATTAGTTCTGATCGTTTGTTTAATGAAGTGGATTTGTCCGCGGTGATAATGAGGAATTTTTCGGCAAGGCAGAGGTTGCATGTTCTTGAATTTCCTTTGTAAGATGCGGCTTTGTGGATTGTCGACCAATGAATGGAGTAGGGCGTATTGGTGCTCCTAAGTTCCCAAATGTATTTGGATAGCTCGGAGCTGTTACCGTAGGCTTTCTTTTGGAATGAGAGGGAATGCTGCGTATATCTTTGTTTAAAAGAATTTTCTGTTAGGCCGATGTAGTTTTTGCCCGTTTGGTCTTTGTTTGTGGTGACTTTAGCCTTGTAAATTAAGGAGGAAGCGAGGCAGTTGTTCTGCAAGGGACAGGCTTGTTTTACTCTGCAGTTGCACTTGCGGTCTTGGCTGGTGGAGTGGGGGTTCAGGATTTTCTGATTGTGCCTCCTTATGATAGAATCCATGTTGTCCATACAACTGTAGCTGACTTTGGAGGTGTTTTTGTTTAAGATTTTGTGGTATCTGTGAGAGGTGGGGAAGTGCTTCTGAACAAGTGTAAGGAAAGTTTTACCGACGTTAGTTTGGACGTTTTTGGTGAAGGGGGGGGGGTTGAACCAGATTATCTGTCTTCTTCTTTTTTTTGAGCGATCACGGGAACTAGGGGGTGAAGGTGTGGCTGGCTTGAAGTAGGAGAGATGGGTGTTATATCCGCTTGATTTCAGGGCGTCTTCGTATGTGGGCTTGGCTTTGTTGAATACATCTTCGTTGCAGGAGAGGTCACAGATACGCCGGTTAATAGACTGTGGAAGGTGCTTGATGATGGAAGGGGGATGGTTGGATTTAGCATGGACGTAGAGGGGATCGTTATTGGGTTTTCTGTAAGGGCGGTATGTTCCTTTCGTTAGGTTTAGTGAGACGTCGAGGAAGTTGACTGTTTTTAAGTTGGTGTTTATGGAGATTGAAAGGCCGTATTGTTTGAAATGGGCTGATGTTGTTTTCCTAAAGCGGTCCGCCTCCGGGCCTGATGCGTTCTTTTGTAAGGTTAGGCCGTCGTCTCTGTAGAGGCCGATGTTGGTGTTACCTGTTTTTTTGCTGAGGGTGTCGAGGATGAAAAGGCCTACGAGTTCGCATATTTCGGCACCATGGTAGCTCCCCATTGTGACGTCGAACATGTCATTTGTTTTCTTTTTCCAGGCGGTGTGGTGGTTGAAGAGGAGAGATTTACAGAAGTGTGTGATGATTTTGATGTCTTGATCGGTGATCGTGGTGAAGATTTTGGCGTAGTTGATGGCATCCAGGAGGAGGGTTTCCGTGATCGAGGGGTAAAAGTTGTCGATATCGAAGACAGTGAACGAGTGCTTGTGTTTGTCGGGGATGCTGTCGAACCATTTAATGATTCAAGAAAGTTTGCTGACGGATGCGGTTGTCTATATTATCGAGGATGCGCTTGCTTACTTTCCCGAGGTCATTCTTCGAGGGGTTGATCAATCGGCATGTGGGTTTGTTAGAGAAGTTTTCCTTGTGATCTTTTAATGTAATGAATGCTTGTTTAGTTGAGAAGCGTTCTGTTCTATCTTCGATGTTGAGGTCAGTGGCTATTTGTTTAGCTTCTTGGTTGATAGAGTTGAGCACATCGGCATTTGCCTTACGATAAGTCGAAGAGATATTGTTGGCTAAGAGTGTGTCGTGAAGGGGTTTGTCGGGCTCGTAGAAGTTTCTGGTCTTGTCGGCTGGGATGAAGACTTTGGGCGAGTTGTTGATCTTTTTGATGTCTTCGTTTCAGATGGTTCTGGAACTTATCGGAGACTTTCCTGAATTTATGTTATTCACCATGTTTAAGAGCTCGGCTTCGAAGTTGAGCATGTCTTCAATCTGTGGCGGGCATTTTCTAGAATTAAAGCCAAATTTATCGTCGGGATTTGGTTGATCATCAGGGTTGCTGTCGAAGAAAAAGGCCTACTTGCGAAACCAATAGAAACAGTCCTTTTGTCTTCTTAATTGCGTCCTATTATTTTAACTATAATTTCTATTTATAAATTGACTTTGTAGCACGGTATGTTTTCCATCGATGATAAACCGTCTGACGTTCGCAGCGCAAGCTGCGTGAAACTCAGAGTAATGGTGAAACGATCCTCCTGTCATTAAATTATAACCGCTATTAAAACGCTCTGCAACCCACATCGAGCACTTTTTCACAGCTTCGACTTCTCCTAGTCTGTTTATATATATATAGATATATATCTATATATATATCTATATATATATATATATGTATAGAAAGTTTAAAAACATTTCCGAGGATGGACAACTTCTGACGTAAAAAATTCTAAAAACTTTTAATAAAAAACGTTTCGGTCAGAGACCTTCTTCAGTTATTTACAAGTTTTGAAATAAAAAAGAGCATTAAATAGGATCGAAGTGCTAATGATTACGTAATTACAGATAACGACTAATACATATAAGTATGTATTATACATAATTAGTTAAGTTTTGACCCAAACGAAATGCCTTGAACATTCAGCCAGTTCTAACTTGTATAGTATAAGAATAGAGTACAACTTAATCACTTCGTTTTCACTTAACTTTAAATTTAAATAAGTTTCATTCGCAACACCTTGACTCATGGCAACGGTTTACATATGGTGAATCTAGTCGATTCCCCGTACAGTTTTCATAATGAATGTCTCACATTGGTTAGTTGAGTGTAATGCTGCTCACGATTTTTTGGTGAAAGCTATCAGCTGAAGGAATCATGAAACTAGATGCGATAAGTATATTACACAGTTAATATTCTGCTGAAAAGAATTCCGGTAAAAGGTCCACTGTTGATTCCATTTTTTTCAGACGTGGACGAGTGTTCCCTCGAAATTATACCTGCTGATTACATTCATCTTGAGAACAACTGCCATGCTGACGCCACTTGCTTCAACACCAAAGGATCATTTTACTGTACGTGTCATACGGGATACTCTGGACATGGTGTCACATGCGTCGGTAATGACCTTTCAGTATCTTACTGCTAAGTCAAATTGCTTTATTCTATATGCGAACAATGTCCTTCAATGAATCAAAATTATACTTTGAAAACCAAAATGCCTTTAGGCTGAGTTGAAAATCTGTCCTACGAACCAGATTCCGAGTCGAACTCACTTCTTTCTATGAAGTTAAGTTCTGTAGACCTCACACGTCGCAAGTACCTTGCAAATAATGCGGGTAATGAGTTTACAAATTTTTTGTGTGGTTTAGTACGAGTACAGTTAAACCGAATTCATTTTATTTGCTGAAAGTACACCATTTAGTGCAGAATTCTTGAGTTCGTTTGATTGTTTTAATATACATTCGATTGCTTTCCGTTGACACTAAAACATACCTAGACGCTGACACCGAATAGCTTTACGGTTATGTGTGTATCCAAAACTTATCGGCACATTGATTTCTTTTCATTTCAAAAGTAAAATCAGAAAAATACTTATCACTGAAAGACTGAAAACTGAATACGTGGTATCAGCTTTGACAATGTATGGGAAATTGGGTAAGCTTACTTCAATTTGACTTGTTTAGATATTGACGAATGTAACCCGTCTAGTTTGTCTGACGAATACAAACAACTGGCTCATAAATGCCACGGCGATGCCAACTGCACCAACACCAAAGGTTCTTACAACTGTGGATGCCAGGAAGGCTACGGCGGAAACGGTGAAAAGTGCGAGGGTGAGTTACACTTGAATTAAAATTCTCTTCATTGTATAGTTTTACATATAGCAGCTGTTCCTCCCATTTGGCATGTAAATTTTCCTAATAAGCAGGTAGTTTGAGGGAATGTAGTTTCTTTTTCTTTTATCAAAGAAGGAAAGAGCCAATTATCGCAGACAAGCTACTATGAATTGATTAATTGAAAAGGAAAGTTGGCGGCACCTAGCACTCAATGAAGGGTTTAACAATTCTACTAAAACAACCGTAGAACTAAGGATGTCCACTCATTGACAATTCCAGTCATTATTTTGTATTGCAGATTTCCCTTTATGCCTAATTAGTTTTGAATTATGAAAAAAGCACTCAGTCGAGACTGTAATGAAATTCTCCTTTATGTTGCGACGTACATGACATTTACCTTCAGATATCGACGAATGCTCAACTGGAGCGCACAACTGTCACATCGACGCCAACTGCACCAACAGCAAGGGATCTTTCTTGTGCACTTGCCATACAGGATATTCTGGTGATGGTGTCACATGTATTGGTAAGTCAATCTTTTCTCGTGAACAAGCTCCATTATTTCCGTTTGATTTTCTTGACTGTGATAGTATTCCCTTAACTATTCAATATCCAACTGTCATAGCATCCTTTAACTGGCCTTCTTAAAACCACTTTCTTTGTTTACTATTTAACTCCAGATATTTCTGAGTGCGAGGACAAAACTCTAGCTCCTCATCACCGAAGCTATGCCCATAATTGTCACGATGACGCCAACTGTACAAACACAAATGGATCATTTTATTGCACATGTCATACGGGATACTCAGGGGATGGTGTTATCTGTTCAGGTAATTCAAGGAATCTGTTAGTGAAGGTGAAACTGTTAAAGGACGAACAAGGCAATATACCCGTATTTTATTAAGGACCGTTTTAAAAGGCGATTATTTTTCTCGTTTTCTTTGACGCTTCAGACGAGTTGCAATTCCGATATCTGAAAAAGAATATTTCTATTTAGTATATATAGTGTATAGCATTGGGAGCGTGCTCCTCAGTGTCGGTGGAAATATCCACAACTAACTACTTCTACCTCGGTGAATAGTTGTTAATTATCATAAACGTTTCCTACCTAGACATCAATGAATGCCACATTAACAATTTGGCTCAAGAACACCTTGAATATTCCCACACCTGCCACACTGATGCCAACTGTACCAACACCAAAGGGTCGTACTACTGCACCTGTCTGAATGGTTATTCTGGTAATGGAGTAAATTGTGTAGGTAGGTAATTCCAGTAAAGGGAAGGCAGCACGCTAGTAGAACTATACATGAGCTACAGTGACTCATGTGGCTTTCATTAACTCTGTAATTTGTCTCAATGTCACTCATGTTAAACATAAATACTATAATTCTAGTATCCTAAGGATAGAAAACTCCTGATCCATACACTGAATTCGTGGCGAAGAGTTAATAAATGTCTATTTTATTAAAGCTTTTGAAGGAAGCATGAAAGTAAGTATATTAAACTTCCTCTTTTGGTGTTGGGTTTGAACTTGGGTTAATCATTTTAGGACGACTTTCGTTGATGTCTGTACGGTAATTTCTCGAAATAAATGCACTTATTTGTACGGATGATTCTATCACTCATCGGTAACGGTTGCCAGCAGAGCAGTGAATTAAATATGTCTCAACTTCCATTTCAGATATTGAAGAGTGTGCAACAGACATAGATAACTGTCACCTGGATGCAAATTGCACGAATACGAAAGGATCATTTTACTGCGCATGCCATACGGGATACGATGGAGATGGAGTATTCTGTAATGGTAATGTTCCTTTAAAACGTTTAGGAATGTTAACTTTTGAAAATTTACTGCATTTATTGCTATTCAAATTTAAATATATGAATTTGGTATTCATCAGATGTCGAGGAGTGCACATCAAACATTCATAACTGTCATGCGGACGCTAACTGCACCAACACAAAAGGATCATTTTACTGCACGTGTCAAATAGGATACTCTGGTCACGGAGTCAGTTGTGTTGGTAAGGTATACATTAAACTAAGACCGTACAGTTTGAGGTCACCTCAACCTTCACTAGAGTGAGGAATAAGCTGGACCAACTACACTCCAACTGAAACTGTCACTTTTGCTTTTCGCAGTCTGTTCATTTACTATCTAAGGTTTTATTATGTTTGAAGCTTGAATTATTTTTAATCAATATCTCGTAATACTTTCACCATCTTTAAAACAATGTGAGTCACATCGAGCCTCTCCAACAACATAGTTCCCCTTTTCAAAAAATTTATGTGTGTTGTTTCTGTTATATTCTAGATGTAGATGAGTGTTCTCCTGAACTGATTTCTAATGACTACATCCATCTTAAACACAACTGCCACGCCGACGCCAACTGTTCCAATACGAAAGGATCATTCCTCTGTTCATGTCGGACAGGATATTCTGGGGATGGAGCCACATGTACAGGTATCGCTTCTGATTTTGATAAGAAGCTCTGATCGATCCTGAACTGGTTTAGAGAGAGGTGTACTCCGATGACAAACACGTGTTCTATGTAATTTTTGAAAGTTAAGAAAACTAATGATGTTTTTTCCTTTTAATAAAAAAGACATCGATGAGTGCTACCCATTAGGATTGTCATCTGAATACCAAGATTTGGCTCACATTTGTCACGATGATGCCAACTGTACAAACACAAAAGGATCTTACTACTGCACATGTTTGAACGGATACTCTGGATCAGGAGAGAAATGCAAAGGTATTGCTCTCGCATTTATCAGATTCACTTCTTCAAAGCGTTACACTGGACTGCCACAACTAGATTAATGAATCAGTCTATAATGACAGTTGTAATCCAACAAACATTTTTGCTCGCACGAAATTAGTCAAAACGCAACACGACGTAACCATATATCCCCCAACCAAAACTGGGGGATATACGAAGACGTTCCTTACGTCCAATACAGAAAACTCGACATTAGATATTTAGATATATCAACAAAGTTGAAGTGGTAAATTGGCCACCGTAACGATTACAAAAGCTGACGTTTCGAGCGTTAGCCCTTCGTCGTAACGATTACAAAAGCTGACGTTTCGAGCGTTAGCCCTTCGTTTCGCTCCGACGAAGGGCTAACGCTCGAAACGTCAGTTTTTGTAATCGTTACGGTGGCCAATTTACCACTTCAACTTTGTTGAAATATCCAAATTAT